GATCACTTGGACTCTGGAAGGGGAACATCACACACTGGGGCCTATTATGGAGAGAGGGGAGAGGGGAGGGATGACATTAGGAGTTATACCTGATGTAAATGACGAGTTGATGGGTGCGATGAGTTGATGGGTGCAGCACAGCAACATGGCACAAGTATACATATGTAACAAACCTGCATGTTGTGCACATGTACCCTAGAACTTTAAGTATAATAAAAAAAAATGTTACATGAACTTACTTGATAAAGCAGCTGCAGGGCTTGAGATGACTGACACCAATTTTGAAAGTCCTACTGTGGATAAAATGCTATCAAACAGCATCACATGCTACATATAAATCTGTCATAAAAGGAAGAGTCAATTGATGAGGCAAACTTCCCTGTTGTCTTCTTCTAAGAAATTGCCATAGTCACTCTAACCTTCACCATGCTAATCAGTCAGTAACCATTAACATAGAGGTAAAATCCCCCAACAGCAAAAAGATTACAACTCACAGAAGGTTTAGATGATCAGTAGCATTTTTAACAATAAAGTTTTTCTTTTTTTTGAGACAGAGTCTCGCTCTGTCACCCAGGCTGGACTGCAGTGGCGCCATCTTGGCTCACTGCAAGCTCCACCTCCTGGGTTCACCCCATTCTCCTGCCTCTGCCTTCTGAGTAGCTGGGACTACAGGCGTCTGCCACCACGCCTGGCTAATTTTTTGTGTTTTTAGTAGAGACGGGGTTTCACCATGTTAGCCAGGATGGTGTCGATCTCCTGACCTCGTGATCCACCTGCCTCGGCCTCCCAAAGTGCTGGGATTACAGGCGTGAGCCACCGCACCTGGCCAACGATAAAGTATTTTTAATCAAGGTATATACATTGTACTTTTGCAAATATAGACTATAATATAATATATAATATAATGTAAATATAACTTTTATATGCCCTGGGAAACCAAAAAATTTGTGTAACTTGCTTTATTATGGTGGCCTGGAAGTGAACTTGCAATATCTCTGAAGTATACCTGTGTATACAATCCAACATGTGATTTCAAATTCTGGAGTCTGAGTGCAAATTCTTTTTCTCTCCTCCCCATCTAAATCCTCCAATATCCCACAGCACCTAACCAGAGTGTGCATATGTGCTTAATAAATAGCTAATCTTTTTTGGCTATTGTGATCTCCCTCTAATTGCCATTTTAAAAAATGTAAATTAGATCTCTTTTCTCATCTTACCCTTCTGGCAAGCTACTCAAAATAGTCAGGAAATCATCATGATTATGTATAGCGTATTTACGGTGAGTCTTGGTTTGAGGTGAGAAGGAATAGGTCTTCTCCATCTCACCAACAGGGTATGCATTTCTCTGACCAATTTTGCCTTTCTTGACCCTGACCACACACAAGTCCTTGGCTCCCTGCTGACTGCCCACTACATCCAGCTTTGGTGCAGGAAAATGATAGGATCTAAACCTCTGGCCAGTGACTCCTGATCTGGCCAAGCAAGGGGCCTCCCTCACTTCTGTTTTGGCCCTAGGTATGCCTACTGCCATATTTCATTAATATCTGACAATTACCCCATCTTGGAAAAAGCTGGTTCATATTCTTATTTGAGCCCTTACCATCTAGAAATCAAGGCAGGCACAAGACATTACCAATCTAATCCTCAGACTACCATGCACACATAGAGATTCCAGGGGCTAATGCAAAACAGTGTTTTCCCCCTATGAGGCTGCTGGGCAGTCCATGTGCAATATAGCCCTGCTGAGCATCATTCATGCAGTCATTTATTCAATAAATATTTACTGGACACCTACCATGTACCAGGGACTTTTTCGGACATTGAGATCCTCTCCTGGTCTCCTTCATCTTCCCTCCCTTCCGTTCTCCCTACCCCAGAAGTTCCAGCCCTCAATTAATTTGTTCCACCAGGTTTTTCTCTTACAGAGTGGTGGCGGTGGTGGGATTCAGATGCTCCAGATACCCCAGCATGATACATTTACAAGTCAAATATTTTTCCAGCTAATTTGGCCACCTGTCATACTTACAGATTTCCTGTTGTTCTATCATAAGGGTTTGAGAGGAATTCTGCAGCAAAGGTGGCTGTTCCGCAGCCATTGTGAGTTGGAGCAAAGCTCAATTCCAAATCTATTCAATTCAAATAAATACAAAATAAATTCTTTAGAATGAATTTTAGGGCTGTGTAAATAACTTAAACATTGGGTAAAAGTTTTAATTTTTAGGTTGGGTACAGCAGCTCAAGCCTGTAATCCCAGCACTTTGGGAGGCCAAAGTAGGTGGATTACCTGAGGTCAGGCGTTCAAGACCAGCTTGGACAACATGGTGAAACCCTGTCTCTACTAAAAATACAAAAAAATTAGCCAGGAGTGGTGGCAGCCGCCTGTAATCCCATCTACTCAGGAGGCTGAGGCAGAATAATTGCTCAAACCCAGGAGGCAGAGTTTGCAGTGAACTGAGATCTCACCACTGTATTCCAGCTTGGGGGACAGAACAAGATTTCGTCTCAAAAAAAAAAAAAAAGTTTTAATTTTTTTTCTACTGTCAATTCTCCAGAGAGGTTTTTCCATTTCTAAATTAGGCCCCCAATTAATTCTCACACAGCACCTTCTATTCATTCTTCATAGCACTTATTCAATTTGCAAAGATTTATACATGACATCATTGCTTAATATCTTACTCCCCCACTAGACGAGCTCCGTGAGGGCAGGAACCATTTCTGTTTTGTCCTGCACTGAATAGTAGACTGTACACAGAGCCTGCACATAGTAGGAGGACAGTAAATACTTGTTGAAAGGACAAAGATTCATTTGCCTAGCCCCCCATAAATCCTTCTTCATACTTCCAGCTCCAACACTTTATCTCAATATTGTAGAAAGTGGCTTAGTTCAACTTTAGTAGACTCAAGCGGAGGCTCTCTTTCACACACACAAAAAATACTTTTGGTAAATGTATAGAATATATGTAGAAAGTTTTATATTATAGCATTGTTTTTAGTGTCAAAAAGCAAAACAAAGCTGGGAAACTACCTGGAGTGATTGACCAAATTATACTGATGAGGGGCGCAAGAGCTGAAGTTTATACTTTTGCACCTATCAGTCATTAGTTAAGAGTTGGGGGGTGGAAGCATAAATTCATAGGCACTTATGGCCTCCAGTGTGCACAAATGAAGCACATTCCAGTAACCTGAAGGTCATTTGCTCATAAAGTGATGCAGGGCTGGGCTGTTGGGAGGATAACTACACAAGGAGTCGGGGTGCACAGAAATAGTGAAGAGATCTGAGGGGGTGTGTGTGCGCAACCATCATTGCTACATTTTAACAAAAACCTATATATGCACATCATGCAAGAGCATGAAAAAAGATGGACAAGAATCCTCCTCTGAGGGAGGAACAGAAGAGAAAATGGCTGGAGGGGTGGGAAAGGGGGTTATTAACTTTTTCTTTATATATTTTCATAATATTTCTGTGAAATATTAAACATTTCAATAAACATTTTAGGGGAAAAGGTTAGCTAGAAACTTTTAATAGATGTACCATTCTCAAGCAAAACTCTTCTTCAGCACACGAATTGGTCAAACACATTGCTCAAAACTTTGAAAATTTTCTAGCCAGATTACAGGCTCTCACACCTGTAATCCCAGCACTTTGGGAGGCTGAGGCAGGTGGATCACTTGAGGCCAGGAGTTTTGAGAGCAGCCTGGGGCAACATGAGGAAAACCCGTCTCTACTAAAAATACAAAAATTAGCCTGGCATGGTGGCATGAGCCTGTAATCCCAGCTACTCTGGAGGCTGAGGCAGGAGAATTCCTTGAATCAGGGAGGCGGACATTGCAGTGAGCTGAGATCATGCCACTGCACTCCCGTCTGGGCGACAGAGTGAGACTCCGTCTCAAACAAACAAACAAACAAACAAAAACTTGGAAAATTTTCTAATATAGCCCAAAGTACGTAACAACCCCTATTGTTTTCAAATTCATTGTTCAGCTAGATCAGGCAATCTTCCACATTAAAAAATAAAGTCAGCTGGGCGCAGTGGCTCATGCCTGTAATCCCAACCCTTTGGGAGGCCAAGGGGGGTGGATCACCTGAGGTCAGGAGTTAGAGACCAGCCTGGACACATGGTGAAACCCTGTCTCTACTAAAAATATAAAAAATTAGCCGAGCGTGGTGGTGTGCACCTGTAATCCCAGCTACTCTAGAGGCTGTGGCAGGAGAATCACTTGAACCCAGAAGGTGGAGGTTGCAGTGAGCCGAGATTGCACCATTGCACTCCAGCATGGGCAACAGGGTGAGACTCCATCTCAAACAAAGAAAAAAATTAAATCAATAAATAAAGTTTAGTTTTTGCTGAATTGTATTAAATATTTAAAAGGTTTTAAAAGCCAATTGGAGGTCTAGAATTAAAATTTACCTGCATCAAGTACCGTTACAAATAACTTATCTGCATTGGCGATCAGATTAAGTGATATCTTCCATGAAATACTAAGCATACTTGTACACAATGACAAACACAGCATAACTTGAGATTCTCTGGAAACAAATAGATTTCTTTTGACTTTGACTGAAAGACACATGTTGAATTCCAAACATTAAAAATCTACTTTTGCCAGGCATGGTGGCTCACACCTGTAATCCCAACACTTTGGGAGGCCCAGTGGGGGTGAATCACCTGAGGTCAGGAGTTCAAGACCAGCCTGGCCAACATGGTAAAACCCTGTCTCTACTAAAAATACAAAATTAGCCACGTGCGGTGGCACATGCCTGTAGTCCCAGCTACTTAGGAGGCTGAGACAGGAGGATTACTTGAATCCTGGAGATGGAGGCTGCAGTGAGCCAAGATCGTGCCACTGCACTCCAGCCTGGGCAAGACAGAGTAAGACTCCATCTCAAAAAAAAAAAAAAAAAAAAATCTATTTTCATCAAGTGCTTTGGAATCCAGGAAATACAGACTCTATGTAGAAAATGCTTGTAACCCTACCCACCCAACTGTAATTTCTTCCAGGAAAAACAGAAATTGCACGGAGGTCTCTGCTCTGAAGCCTGCAGAATAACAAAGGAGTCTATGAGATGGAGAAATAGAAGGGCGAAGGGATCTTCACCGTGTGTGCCATGACGCCTTGACACTGATACCAAACAATGTTGTGTCTGTCTCTATAATCCAGAGGATGAGCCATATGGATTTTGTGACATAAAAATCAGTGTGACATATGACTACCATAAAAGAAGGAATTAACAGACTATTTTCTTAATACTTGACTAATAAACATTTACTACATGTACAGTTACTTGTTATTGTACTTTATGTTATGAAATTGGAGCAAGCAAGAAAAGAATCCAAGAGAAAATCATTCCTTCCCTTCTCCATTTAACTGTTCTTTCCTCTGCCCAGTTGGAAGAAGCTCTGTGGAGAAGAGACTGCAATGTTCCCAAATTGCAAATAACATGTCATGATTTATTATAGCTACATTCCATTGCTTAGCCTCCCCTAGAGCCCTTGCCATATTCTGCCCTTTTTGTCTCTGTTTTTTAATGCATGGAGCAAATTCCATCTTACTCCACCACATGTAGGTGTCCAAAAAATTCTGCTCTTTATTTTTTTTATATCAACTTAAATTCATCTCAAGTCTCTGGCTCTCTGAGCTGGCAGGAAACAAACTGTCATTACTGGAGTCCTCTTACCTCCTTGGCTTACACCAGAATCTGGGGAAAGTGCATCTATAGAAACTGGGAGAAGGGTTTCTAATCTCACACCTACCTTGATCTCGTCTAATATTCTCACTGCCCAACCTTTCTGTTCCAATGCTAAGTAGGAAAGGGGGAGTGTGGTGAGGGGACTTTGCCTCAGCTGGACGCCCTGGTGCTTGGAGTGGAACATCTCTGAGACAACATGCAGCTGTCCTTTCTGACATATTACCCAGCAGGACATGACCACGGAACAGGCAAGAGTCCCTATTACCCATAGGCCCACCAACCTTCATCCCTTCCTGGTGACCCAAAATTTCCACTTTTTCTTGGTCTTCAAAGGTACCCCTTTATTCTTCCCCATTACCTTATTTCTTTAGGGAAGCTTGCATAATGTTGACAATGAGCCAGGGTAGGACTGGGAACCCACAATGATGAACATCTTAACAAAGATTTCCACCACTCACGCTTGTGTTATCATTTCCTCCCACACAGAATTTCTCTTCGCTCCTCACCCCATCCTCCATTACTACCAAACCTCGAGTCCCAGAGGGAAGAGTCTGTTTATTACTTATTTTATATTTCCTAAAATACCTAACATGGGGATTCACGACCACTGCATTTGGGAGAGCAAATCCCTCCCAGCAGCCCCTACAAATTTTCATTGATATGTAAAAAGAAAATTTTTATTTTTGCTACAACTGAGTGTAAATATTGTCACAGCAATGCCTGAGATGAGAAACAAAGTAAGTTAGGCGGCTGGGTGTTTAAAAACTTTGTTGTAACTAAGAAGTCATCAGGTCGGCACTACAGAAAAATTGCAAGAACTTCGCCTCCATGAAGAATACAGCCAGGGCAGAACAAGCTCTTCTCTAACAGCCACCATCCTGACAGCAACCAATAACCCCAACCTTGTACTGACATTATGGTAGCAATAGCACTGTAATCATTGCTGACCTAATTAGTATTGTTGTCAATCATTTAATTATCTCATGTGTCTCAAAAAATTATAGTATTTGAAACATGCCTCTGTTGCAGTTACTAAAAGATGTCCACTCTGGCCGGATGCGGTGGCTCACGTTTGTAATCCCAGCACTTTGGGAGGCCAAGGCAGGTGGATCATGTGAGGTCAGGGGTTCAAGGCCAACCTGACCAACATGGCAAAACCCCATCTCTACTAAAAATACAAAAATTAGCCAGGCGTGGTGGCAGGTGCCTGTAATCCTAGCTACTCAGGAGGCTGAGACGTGAGAACAGCATAAACCCAGGAGGTGGAGGTTGCAGTGAGCCGAGATGTTTTTTGTACTCCAGCCTGGGTCACAGAGCAAGACTCTGTCTCAAAAAAAAAAACAAAAACAAAAAAACAAGATGTCCACTCCTCTAATTCTTACCTTCTTCCTAACTAAAAGAATATCCAATGTTGGCTGGGTGCGGTGGCTCACGCCTGTAATCCCAGCACTTTGGGAGGCCAAGGCGGGTGGATCATGAGGTCAGGAGATTGAGACCATCCTGGCTAACACGGTGAAACCCCATCTCTACTAAAAATACAAACAATTAGCCAGGCGCGGTGGTGGGCACCTGTAGTCCCAGTTACTCGGGAGGCTGAGGCAGGAGAATGGCGTGAACCCAGGAGGCAGAGCTTGCAGTGAGTCAAGATCACGCCACTGCACTCCAGCCTGGGTGACAGAGTGAGACTCCGTCTCAAAAAAAAAAAAAAAAAAAAAAGAATATCCAGTGTTAGCCACACTCAGCATAAAGACTACACTGCCCAGTCTATCTTGCAGCTGTATGTATAAGGGATGGTGAATCATCTGGTGCTAGCAACAATGTGTTTCTGTGACTACGCCTAGCCTGAAGACATAAGAGGAGGAAGAAGTTCTCAGAATGTGTAGAGCAAGCTATGGTTATAGGAGGCAGCTGTCTTATACAAGCTATGGCTTCTCTAATGGATTGTGTTCCCCTAGAAGTTGAACTTGCAGCAAGGATTTGCGTACTACTAGCTAATTTTTATGGCAATTCCAGGAGGCACTGGAAGTAAGTGGGTAAATGAGACAGGGCAGGGAAAGAAGCCAATACAGAATGCATAGATTAGGAGATCACCACTGAGTGCATCTGGGACACTCTGTCTTGATAGGGACCCACTGGGAAATGGGTGTAGAATACAGCTCATAGTTGTTCCAACTCAGGGGAACAGAAACAGAGATATTTATCCACCAATTCCTACACATCATTCATTAAGGGGTGTTCCCTGGAGAAAGCATCTATCCAGAACCTCTGGCAGGTCCTGCACATGGGCTGAGCATGTTTCTACAGCCAGAAAAAGCCATCAGGTAGAGAGTGGCAGGTATTTTCAAAAGAAGAAGCCACCACCATGCATAAGGAATGGTGAGGGCTGAGGACATGGGGAGGGGGCTCATAGGGTTGGCTACACCTTCAGCTAAGGAGTACAGCCACTGCCAGTCCATGGGCAGCAGGGAAGGAGCTGAGGAATAAATACCAGATCTTGCTCTGCTCCCAGCCTCCAATCTCCTGCTGAACCTAACCAGAAGCCCCCTGATGCAGTTCACTCTGGCCAGTCTCCCAGGACCCAGAGCAGGGCGGAGGAGGATGGAGAATGACTAGAGAATATCCAGCACACTAGCCTTCAGGCGTTCTCAAATTTCAAGATTTAAAATCTCAGACAGCACTGTTTGGCTATAAAAATATTATGACATGTTTATATATTAGCTAAAACTAGAGAAACTGGAAAAGATCTTGGAAAAGTTACCTGAGAGTCCAAACAGTGGAAGAAAAATCCTAAGTAAGAGGAGACTTGAACTCTAGTTCTGGTGCTGATAATTATTAATGACGCCAGTTTAGGCAAGTCCTTAGCAGCACGGGCTGTTTCCCCACCTTCATAATAGAGTAAGATCTATTGACCTAATGAAGCTATTATGAAAATCAAAAGAATGTGAAAATGCTCTGTAATTACAAAGGTTATACAAGTGTGAGGTATTAGTATACCTTCACTTTTCCAGACAGATAGGAAGCCATTTCATTGTTAAACACAACACTGTTAAAAAGAAATGCCACTATTTTTGTTTCATTGTGTTTTTCAATTAGGAAGACATTTACATAAATATTTACCACCACATATCTTTTTAAAAATAAGAATGGGTATAAATAAATAACACGTTTACTTACAATTATTTTCTTACCACTAATCCCTCACTAAAAATCCACATTCTAATTATATATCAGTTTCTAATAAAGTCATAGTTTTTCCCCATTATTTCCTTTTATTTTTCACTGAACTTTACTTTTTCAACAACTTTTTTGTCTTTATATGCTTTAACATTTTTGATGACCCAGTAATTATGCCCAAGTTTATGATTGATTCTTTGTCCTTTCTCTTTTCACTTTCCTTTTAATGTAGAAATATAAGCCAAATGGTGGTGGCACCATTTGATTATAGTGGGAAACACTGGGACTGGGCACAGTGGCTCACACCTGTAATCTCAGCATTTCAGGAGGCTGAGACAGGAAGATCACTTGAGCTCAGGAGTTTGAGAACAGCCTGGGCAACATGGCGAGACCTTGTCTGTAACGAAAAAAAGAAAAAAAAAAGCGTAGCTGCACTCCCAGCTACTCAGGAGGCTGAGGTGGGAAGATCACTTGAACCTGGGAGACTGAAGCTGCAATAAACTGTAATCTTGCCACTGCACTTCAGTCTGGGCAACAGAGTGATAACCTGTCTCAAAAAGAAAGAAAGAAATACTGGGAAGAATAACTTCTGTGTGCAATAATCAAATCCAGTGAATTAGGGAAAATATTATTAATGTTCCTAAGTGGAGATTTCAGTGTTTCTGACTTGTTACAAATCAGGAATCAGGATATCACTAAGTCAGAGAAATTCATGAAACAAAAGGCAATTATTTCCTCTAGGGCTATCTCGCTGTTATTGTCTTAAGATCCTCCCAACATAAAGTCATTCTTGGCTGGAATAAAGTTTCTGAAAAGGAACATTAGAGGAGGGGAGATTGTTTTTAAATGTACCACTTCTAGGAAAATAAGCATTTGTCAATTCTTGACTACCCAAGACAACACAGAGTGAGGTAGAGACTTAAGGAAACAAAATTAGAAATTTCATAAAACGGAACATAAAGTTGCCATTCTTGTTGCTGACTCTATTGTTTCAAGTCTCTGCAGTGGGTGGGAGTAGGAAATTTTTCTGGGAAGGAAAAGGTTTTGCCCACTTCCTTAAAGCAAGTCTACTCTATTTTAATTAGCTTTCTAGCTGTTATCTCTTTACTTCACATAAGGAACACTGCCAACACTCCATTTTGACACCATCCTGAGGAAACAGATAGTGTCCTCCTGAACTTTGGTAAGAAGCGTAACACATACAGCAGCTTCAGACTGAGTACGCCAGGAAATAAAATTTTTGCATAGAACCTCCTTCCTAGTAAAGTTAAAGGAAATTACTTTTTAAAAATCTCTATGAAGTGATAAGTCACTTTCCATATAGGTGATTTTCATGCTTCATACTGTGTTTCTCTGAATATAATTGGTAGGAACTCCATTTAAAATGCTAGGATAGTTGATGTGTTTAAGGACAGAAAGAGAAAGGCTGGAGAGAATTCAAGTACCTTTGAATAACTCAGGTTTGAACTTTAAGAGTCCACTTATATGTGGATTTCAAAAAATATATATATATTTTTAAAAATTTTAGAAATTTGCAACAATTTGAAAAAACATGCAGATGAACCATGTAGCCTAGAAATATTGAAAATATTAAGAAAAAGTTAGGTATGTCATGAATGCATAAAATATATGTAGATATTAGTCTATTTTATCATTTACTAACAAAATATATGTAACTCTATTATAAAAAGTTAAAATTTATCAAAACTTACACAAACATAGACTATACATAGTGTCATATGCAGTTGAGAGAAATGGAAATAAACATAAAGATGCAGTATTAAATCATAACTTCATAAAATTAACTGTAGAACATACTGTACTATTGTAATGATTTCATAGCTACCTTCTGTTACCATTGTGGTGAGCTCAAGTCTTGCAAGCATCCGCTTAAAACACCGTGTGATGATAATCATCTCTGTGTGAGAAGTTCATCTTTCCAGTAAATTGTGTGTCACCGTTAAAACTGATTTCTCATGGCTCTCACATATTTTTCATTGTGTTTAGTGCAATACTATAAACCTGGAATAACACCGTGGGATCCATATAAAGTGCCACTAGTGATGCTAGAAGTGCTCCCAAGAAGCAGAGAAAATTCATGCCATTACAAGAAAAAGGTGAATTGCTTGATATGTACCATAAATTGAGGTCTGCAGCTGCAGCTGCCCACCATTTCAGATGGACAATTCACCTTATAAACAGACAACATAAACTTACAGTAGCCATAAATACAGTATAGTACTGTAAATATATTTTCTCTTCCCTACAATTTTCTTAATAATCTTTTCTTTACTTAGCTTACTTAATTATAAAAATACAAAATGGAATACATATGACACACAAAATATGTATTAATCAACTGTTTATGTTATCAGTAAGACTTCTGGCCAATAGTAGGCTATTAATAGATAAGTTTTGGGGAAGGCAACAGTCACATGCTATTTTTTATGAGGGTCAGCGCCCATAGCCCCCACATTGTTCAAGGGTGAACTGAAATATGAAACAAATTCAACAGTTAGATAGCCTAAATAAGCTATTATTTTCATATTCCAAACTTGCTACAGATTGCTCTCGTTTGTAATAACTAAAACTACAATGAAATTGTCTTAGGATTTAAAAGATATTTTGGATGGGAAGGATAATAACTTAATAATAAACTTAAATAATTTAACTTATGCAACATATTTATGTGAATACTGTGATGTTTGTACAACCATCACTCCAAATATAAAAATTCTTGATTTGTTTAGATTTTAGCATCAGACTGCTAGGAGCAACCATTTAGGTAGATGATATTATTTCAGCATTATTTTTAACATGCTGCTAAGAGAACTTCTATTAAAAAACCTCTATCACTTGCCTGCTGACATCTTAAAATTTTTTAAACATGGCTAAATTCATTTACTCCACAATTAGTGGCAAATAACCATGAGAAAAGTAATGCA